TAATGCCATTGTTTTTATGTATTATTTAGCTTTTCTATTGCGTTATACCTTCTATTTTTTTATCATTAACCAATTTTAATGTATGACCTTATATAAATTTTTAAATGTATTTTTCTACTGACCTGTCTACAAACTTTATGTTTCTTGAAACCAATAAAAATTATTATTATTATCATTATTACAAAAGGAGTTGATAGAAATCAATCTTTGTTTTTCATTTTTCTCGAAATCGCTTTTTGGTCACTTTCATCTTTTTTCCCCCTGGCCTTCAAATAGTTATCAAGTTTTATGTCTTTACAACTATTACATGGTTTTAAAAAATCTTCCATTTGAAAGCAATCATGGTTTTTATTGACATATTTTTTTGTAGCAACTAACACCTCCAGAAGTAAATACTACACAGAGTATAGATTGTTCCACAGTGGAAATTCCTAGGACATGCACTACCCAACCTTCTACCGGTAAGTAAACATTTTATCTTAATCTCATAAGTTCCTTTGCTAACATTGAATCGTCCTTGTATAAATAGACCCTTCCAGTAGGTATGTGAAATTTCATGATTTAGTATGTTCAGAACACCAGAATAAACCACATTTTTTAAATGAATGTTGCCTCGCCGATGGTTTACAGAAAGTTATGCGAAACTCTCATTTCCTTGTGGTTTTCTCTAAAAATATCGGTATCAAATAATTTTTACTTACTTTCAATTACACCCAACTATTTCCTTTAATGACTGTCATTGTTTCCATTCAATACATTAATTGTATCAACTATTTCTTATCCTAGCCAGTCAGCTTTTTCCCTCCCTATTGATCACTCTAGATTTAATATTTAATCTAATTTGTTAATGAGGTTGGCAAATTCAATTCTCAAACCATGTTATCAATTAAATGCCCTTCATTTGGGTTTGTTGAAATAACATAAAAATATTTTTGGCTTTCTATTCGGGAAATAGACAGATAAATGAAAGTTTCTTGGCGTGAGTGCCCCTGCCAAGATGTCCCAATGGAGGACACTACCTACTTTTTCCCTAACCGTTTCTTTGTATTTTTCAACATTCAATGTTTCAGACTAGATAGTGGTATGATGATAAATATGAAGTCAATAGAACTCTTTTATTTGGATAACTGCGTTTATGTGGAATAAACTTCTTGAGAATGTTTTTCCAAATTAATTTAATCTCTAGCGATTCAAATACAACGCGCACAGGCACCGCTCTTAGAGCGCCTTAAGGATTTTCCTGTGGTGCTTGTGTTTTGCCCTTAAAAAAATAGAGGACTAATTAAACTATTATACTTTAGATTTCATCACTATGGAAAAAAACAGATTTTGCCCAAATCCAACACATGCACTTTTCCAGATTTTCTCACTCATTCATTGAAAATCATAATTATACTTAAAGTGTTTCAGGAAGATATGGAAAAAAGAAATGTTGTGATTAGAATACGATCAATATAAAAATCAAGAAACGTAAACCTGTTTCCTTCTATCTCCTAATAAAGGGAGTAAAAGTTTGCCTGGAGCTTTCATCAGTTTTCAAGCTGGATATGATTATAGACAATTCGTTATACGTATTCCAACACATTTCCAAAGTCACTCTTCAATCCCTTAAAATAGCGAATAAATATTTGCATAGGACAAGTTGAAGGCTCAATAAATTGGTATTCATGTTGAGATCATCAAACATTGCTGAAAGCAACTTACAAAAATACTCTCCCACCAAAAACATTTCTGTTTAAAGTATTGCAAGACTAGTACATATTGCTTTCTAATTTATTTTCATCGGAAATATATCTAGTTCTTGAGGAAATTATGAGACAGTCATTAATTAAATCTATCTGCAATTTCTCTTCGAACTTCGATTATTGTTTATCTTGTAATAGTGAAAAACCCTGCTTTGAATCAGTCTATTTTCATTCTAAATTCGGTTGTTTCTCGCAGTTGGTCAATCTGTTTTTTCCGTTAACCAGCTGTCGCACCCCTACAAACGACAACCCCAGAAGTCGAAACATGTGCGAGCTAAGGATTAACGAGGTGTTACCTTTCAACGTGTGATTCCTAACAAGATGATAAAAATCTAAGGAAATTGGCTCTGAGGATATTACTGCTGCTGCAGAAATTTATCAGTTGCGATTCTAAACAGTTCACACTGTCGATAATTTGAATTGTATTTTTTCACGTTTTGATTACTCCTTGTGCTTTACACTATCTGTTTCCAGAAACATCTCTTTTGAAAAATCTGGATTCTAATATAATCATTGTATCGGGATATCGTATTTCATATTATTATACTAGCTGAGAGCAGCTTATGTAACATCTACTCGGAATGTAGATCATTTCGGTTATATCACTGTTTCTCAAAGTGTGTGACGCGGTGCCCTGGGGCGCCGTGGAACCTTTACTGGGGCGCCGTGGGCCATGGGTGAGTCTCAAGGTACAACGTTTTACAACATAGGTAACTAAGAGTAAAGGTAATACGTCGGTACCTATTAATACCGGTACCATATTAATAATAATATGATAATATCGGTAATTGCAAAATGCAAGCCGTTCAGACAGCCACCTACCTACTTTTATTAATTAAATATCTAGTTCGGGGCGCCGCGATAACCTTCAAAAAAGATAAGGGAGCCGTGAATTCGAAAAGTTCGAGAAACACTGGGTTATATCAAATAGATTTCTTATTAGTCAGTGGGCTATGCTTGGAGACTGACAGTAAACAAATCTAAAGAAATGAACTTTAAACGTTCAAGCCAGTCTCGAATATACCTACACACTAGGTTGAATGGGCTGACGCCTATCAGAAAACAACTACTCCCCTGGCTAATACCACGAAGGACGTTGGATTATATCCGACGCAGACCGGTTTCGGGCTCATTAGCCACTCATCAGTGCCAGATAGTGGCCATCATCGACCTAAAGTCAATGATATTCCATAATTGAAAATCGGAAGTCTTTCAGAGTACTTCATTCCTCTTCCTAAGTTGGAGCGAACAACAAAATGTCTCTCCATCTAGTGGACGAGGTACTAACCAACTGCATATCCGTAATTTGCCCGATTCCTCTGAATAAGGAAGAAAAAATTTCTTATTAGTCAGTGGGCTTTCTTCCTTATTCAGAGGAATCGGGCAAATTACAGATATGCAGTTGGTTAGAACCTCGTCCACTAGATGGAGGGACATTTTGTTGTTCGCTCCAATTTAGGAAGAGGACTCTGTCTGCAAGTGTGCCCGTTCCAAAATAGAAGGTCGACTCTTTCAGTTGTATTGCCTATGCATATGCAGAAAATTTTCTGTGAAGATTCCTGCACTGACGCCTGTCGGATATAATTCAACGCCCTTCGTGGTATTAGCCAGGGGAGTAGTTGTTTTCTGATAGGCTGTTAATTTACAATTGAAATCTACTATTTTTTCTCCTCGAAATGAAATTGTCTACCAAAGAAATCATAAATATGTTATACATTTTTGAGTGAATGTGACAGAACTTTTGTATTAGTTTGATATTCTAACTCAAGGTCTACATGACCAGAGAGTTTTTGGAGGGTCGAAGGAAGATTTGAAAAAATGGGCAATGTCAAGCTTGAGAGAAGGCAGGTAGTAAATAAAATTGCAACAAATGAAATAAATGAACAGATGGCGTAGGAATAAATGGATTGGAATAAATTGACCCATTTACTGGCCAGGGCGATCCCCAGACCTCATGCCTCTAGATTTCTATCCATGGGGGTATGTCGAAGGAGAGGTCTATCGATAGAAAACAACGACACCAGAAGAAATGAAAATAGAATCAGAGAAGTGTTTCGGTCAAGATCAACTTTAATTGAAGTTCGAAGGGAAATTGTTTATAGACTACATTTGTGCATAGCTCAAAATTGAACATTGTTCGAAGATCTGTTGTACATTTGTGCGTTTTAAAAATGTTTGTTTTCATTTTGTTACTTGTTTTGTTCAGAACTGATTAAATAAAACGTTATTGCTTCTATTTAATGACTTTTTCATACTGCTCAAAAATTAGATACATTCCAGATAGAAATAAAGTAGTCAATTCCTACATTTTCTGAGAGCTTATAGTGTGGATTATTCTGGGATGGGCCTTTGTACAGGGTGTTCTATTCAAAAAAACTGAAAAAAAGTGATCACCAGTACAAAAAAAGCGACGTTTGGTGAATTTATGAAGACGAAATGAAAATACAATATCCTCTAGGATATTCGGTTGAAAACTTTCCTCACTCCACCCGGTATAAACCCAAACAACTCTATATCTTCGAGAAGTACTCTATCCAAAAAATTCAGTCGAGTGAAAACCTCTGTAGTATTCTATTTAAAAAAAACAATAGTTTGGTCTGTCACATATTTATTACACACTCTGTATATTAGTAAAAATTATTGAAACATAGCTTTTATATGGAAGCAGCTATCGTCCACCCACCTATCGTTGATACACCCTGTATAAACATATCTCAGGATGTTTGAATTGAACAACATTAGATTTACTTTCCTTCTCAAATAATTTCTTTGTGCTCTTCTTCCCCCGCACCATCCATCACTTGTTTTTAATCTCTAACCTCTCATTATCCTTGCAGGCATTCAGTGGAATGTAATGGATCAGTCCGGCTTCATGCATTACACATCATCTACGTCCGCCGTGATATCCAATAACATTGGCGCCCAATTCATCCAAACTAGCAATGAAACTACCCCCGCTTCCCCGCACACCAATACCGATAACCTCTTAGTAGATTCTAACACTATATCCGAGTCGTACCCCAATAACAACAAAAGAAAAAGGAATTTCAACCCGCAAGGAGATGAGAATTTCTTGAGAGCCTTGGAGGCAGTTAGGTTCGGAGGCATAGGATTTTGTAAGGCGGCTAGGATGTACGGGGTGAACAACCGAACGCTGTGGTTAGAGTATAAAAAGCGCGGTTATCCCAATTTCAGGCTCAGTATTAAAAATAGGCATCAGGCGCAGGTGCAAGCTGCCGAGGGCGGGAACGCGGACCGTGGTGGCACAGAGGAACCCGCAGTTTCTAGTAATAATGCCGTCAGCCATCCGATAGCTATTATAAGTAGTGCTGTGTTCGATTCGAAACAGGTGGCGCAAAGGTCTAAGTATTTCGACGAGGCACAAAATCCAACAGAAACCATTAATTTTCAGAGCATTAATTTGGAACACATGTGAAATTCCTATTTATTGAACATAATCAAAGGTATAATCCAACTTACAGCAACTACATACATGTTTTGGTTATTTAGTCATAGAATTTTAGTGTGTTATATGAAAGCTACAACTTCTAACATAATTACAAATTTTTTATGGGTCTAAATGTCAGTAAAACTAGTCAAGACTGAATGATTCCTTGTATCAGAGCAGTGATGAAATAAAAAAAGATTCAAATTTTATATCAATAACTTGAAATTATTATGCAGTGGGCTTTTCTTCACAATTAGAATCCCAGTCCAACTTAAGTATGAGATGGCGTTTTTCGATAACTTGCCTTTTTCCTGGATCAGGATATAAATTTGCTAAACTTGGAGTGACATCATTTTGAAGTAGTGCCATTCAAGTTGCCCTCAATAAAAAAGGGAGCAGTGATATGGTTTCCTACAATCCCTGCCCAAGCATTAAGCTTTTGAGGGTATTGCGTGTGTTCTTCTCTCATCCAGTGAGGATTTTTCGTTGAACAGTAGCGTAAATTTTGCCGATTAGCATGACCGTTAAGAGACAAAGTACACTCATCAGAAAAAGAACGTCTTCTGAATGGATGATATTGTTATCCAACATGTCCATCATTTGCTCACAAAAATTTCTTTCAATATGTTTACTATCGATGTATGGCTAACATTGAATGTAGTGGATGCCTGTCTTCTCGATGTATGTGGATTTTTCTCAAACTCAAGCATCACATATAATTTGAGTTCATCACTCATTGCATTGGCAGCTGTTTTTTTTTAATGCCCCACATGACTAAGCTCGCGAAACTGCTTCTCTATTTTGCTTACTGTTCTTCGAGATATGGGCGGTAAATTAGCAGATTTCTCATAAAATAGGCGAGCTACTTCTTGTTGTGTTCGGGTTTTTTCTCCGTAACCGGTCATTTGTAAAACTGTTATTTTATCCATTTCCGTCAATCTAACCATTTGTCAGACTTGAAGTTAACGAACTTTAAACTTAATTTAAAATACTGACAACTAATGTTGTTACATACAAAACAAGTTGACATGGCGTTTTGAACTAATGTTGCCACGGAAATTATTTGCAGTTTTTTAAAGGATACCATCTAAAGGGAACATTCCTATGGTTTTTGCTCACTTTATTATTATCAATACCTCAACATGAAATTAGTTTTGAGTATATTGCAATAAGCTTTGAGTGTATTTTATCAAATTTCGGTAACCACATGTTTTTAATTTATTGTATCTTAATTGTTGCAAGCAAACTTGAAAGCGATAACATTTTTGAATAGAGAATGAAGAGACCTTTCAAACGATATTTGACAAGCCTATACTTTCCATTTGAAAAATTGGGGGTTGTACCTGGTTGAAATATATACTGCAACCGAAATAATTTGGCTTTTACACACTATATATAAGCTTCCATTGATTTTTAATTAAGTGAAGTACATTTGAAAAGAACTATGAACTATTGGTTATCCTGGCTTGTTTTTTAATCGCATATATCTCGCTTATAAAATGGCGTCAATTTATCATATTTCATTTTACTGAAAATTGTTGACAAGTTTTTTTTTCCAGCTGACTGAGTTTCTCTTCTTCAGTCTTATTATTATACTTAACCTAATAACTGTTTGTTTATTTGAAATGAATAAATGATTGATTGATCTTTGCATATTGCAATCTCAGTTGAAATATGAATCATACAGTTGTGCACTGTCAAAGTAACAATTTGATTCGTATTTTCAGATATTTTACATCAGTTTATTTCAATTTTGTTATTAGAGGTCCCAACATGAAAGTGGTTTGAAAAAAAAGCAAATCTGCACTTCTCAAACAAGTTTCATGTTAGGACATTGATTTCATTAGTAGAAAACTATAAGATTGGTTCAACCAATTAAGAATCTATGATAAACATTCGAAACAAACACTATTCCCAAACACCAGAACTGTAATATTCTCCTCGACGCCCACACGTATTTTATTTCAAGTTGCCTATTCATCCTGTTTTTCAAGTAACTACAACTGATATGGTTTTATTAATTTCCTGTTTACGCTGTGTGTGTGTGTTTGTGCGTGCTTGCGACACAAGCAAACTATCAGTCGCAGGGCAAACCGCGGAGCAACCATTTATTTGTTTTGTNGTTTGTAAAATTTCTGGCCGATCTTAGGAACTAATTTGCTACAAGATTCCAAGATTTTGCAGAGGTGGGCAAGCTATCTCTGTTTCTTAAACCGTTATTGGAAGTTAAAACGGTATCCACTGAAGAATTTTGGACCAAACATGTTCCAGAAAAATATGAAAATTGCAAGAAACTTGCTATAAATTTGGCCACTATGTTTGGCTCGACATTCGTATGTGAAGTATATTTCTCAAAGATGAATTTTGAAAAAAAAATATCGTTCGAGATTAACGAACGCCCACCTCATTCCAAATAGTCCATTATTTGCCTTTATTTGAATCACTCTGTTGAAATTAGCGAGAAATTTCACGAGAAAAGAGTATTGCAGTTCTAGTATTTGGGAAGCTTTCAATAGCTTAAAATATTTAAAATTATTTTCAATGCAACTGATGACTTGAGAATCATTGGTTAAGCGATGAGATGATTTTTTTTTATTTGTCTAGTGAAATATGAGTTCTAAGTTTTGTAAATTGTTGTGTTGTGCCTAACTAAGTATGCTACTGGAGTTTTTTCCCAACACCAAATCGTTATTTTTACACCTCAACACGTGTTTCGATCACCAAGTGATCATCTTCAAGAGGAAGATAAAACTATTGTATATAATACCTATTGTTGATATAGTCTGTGTACTGTGGATGTAATATTCAAAACAGTTTTTTTTCGTAATACATATCTACCTTTCCATTTCATTTTTATTTTTCCTTTTTGTTATACAACCTTTTTCCCACAAGCAATTTGTAATATGGTTCAGTTGATTCTAAACATCACTATCACAGAAAATACTCTTCCCACACTCATATAACACTTAAAAGCAAAAGTTTACCTTGCTGGTTATGAATGTACTAGGTTAGTTTTTACGAATTGGTTTATTGTTTCCCAATAACTCCAACTTACTTGATGAAATAAGCGTCAAAAAAAACTTGTTACAGTCGAAGTAAATGATATTGTACACATTTAAATGTGGCTGCACTCTCAAAGGCCAAAAAACCAATACATAGAAATGAACCGTCTGCGAAATAGTCTACATGGACTGCAGAATTGGCGGTTCGTATTGGATAATTTTTACTAACCGAGTTTTATGATTGGCTGAAGAGTCATAAAATTAAATTTGAAGTCACTTACGGTGACAAATAGAATGCGAGGATTGTTTTAATTGTCGTGTTGTCAATGTTCAGATCAGGAACCGACCGCGATTTGAGTCCAGAAATTCGATATTGCTGCAGTTATAATTACTTGAAATTTTTGTTATCTGTTTAAAATGTGGCGTCTTGGGACAAGTACAAATAGTAATAACATCTCGCTCTCCTACTGCTGAACGGTTGCAGCTGTCACATTACTAACTTGGTGGGCTCACAGCGATGGAACATTCATTACTTGGAGGATCTTTGAAGTATGCAGACGTATGTTTGTATACAGACATGCACATGATAAACCCTGTACCTTGCCTGCTGTGACGTCACACCGCTTGGTGGACTCACAGCGATGGAACATTCATTACTTGGATGATCTTTAAAATATGCCCCAACAACCAAATGCAATTACGTCATTACGTCACACACACACAAAATCTTGAAAAAATTCTGAATGGTCCATGCACCAGACACTTCAAGATCACATCACCTTGATTTCACTAAACCAACAAAAATAAGCAATTAATACGTCATAGTGGTGGGAGAAGGCCGAGAATCAGCTGTAAACATCTCGCATTGGTGAACAATGCGAAAAAGATATATATCAGTGAATCAAATTCCGATACATTTGAATATTGAAACACAGAGAGTATGTTTCAATGTATATAAGAATCTACATCTCATGTTTGGTTTCGAGGGAAACAAACTATTACAAGCAACATCAGATTTGACCGAAATTCCTCTCTCATCTGTACGTAAAATAGTCAAAAACAAACCTTATGAACGCAAGACGCGATGTGATACAGGATTACCAAAACCTTTAGATGTTCATCTAATAAAATCATTGAAAAAAACAATATACGACTGTTACAAAAGCAATGAGATTCCTACAACTGAACTCATAAGGAAGAAATTGAATACTTCCGGCAATAACGTGAGCTGCTGTGACAAAACTCTTCAGAATTGGATAAAGAAACTAGGATTTGGATTTAAAATAATAAACAAACGTCAAGCATTTATGGAAAGCAGAAAAATAATGGAATTGCGTAACAAATACTTAAAACAACTAAATATAGACAAGAGCATCGACAAATTTTCTATTTGGACGAGACTTGGTATGACTCTCACGACACAGTTACGAAAGGGTGGACTGATGGTTCAAGAATATGTACGCCTAACATACCTGCAAACAAGGATTGCGACTAATCATTGTGAATTGTGCAGGAAGTGACGGATGGGTTTCGAATTCTTTGAAATTGTGTGGAAAAAACTTGAGGGCTGCAATGTTGACGATCACAAGAACATGGAAGCTAATATTTTCGAAGAATGGTTTGAAAACACATTGATTCCTAATTTGAATGCGAATAGTGTGACAGTTCTTGACAACGCTTCTTATCATTCGCGACAGCAGAGATTAAATACAAAGTTTTTTAATGGATAACAATTTGTATTTTTTGAAGATACCAAAAAACCAATTACCTACTTGAAGTTTTACAGAGAGTATTGCTGAAAAGTATGGACACACCATACTGAGATTCCCCTTATTTTTGTGTTTTCAATCCCATCGAGTCACCGGTATGTGCTGGATTTGGTGAATAAGCTTTTCGAAACTGGTTCAGTGACAAATAAAAAAAGAAATAACCCCAGAGTACTAAATGAAGCAGCTCATATTGCAGTTTTGGAAACATCTGTTTCAGAAAAGCTTTGAAAATGTATAAATTTCATCTTTATAAAATGCAAGATTCTTCAAAAGCTCCATTAGGATGATTATGATAGAAGAATAGAGTTTCGTAAAATCATGTCTCATCGAGTCACCATCCCTAATCTTCTGTGAAACATCTGTTTCAGCGATGAGTGTTCTTTTTTTCCGAATGGCATTGTTAATAGACAAAATTGTCGCTATTGGAGTGACGAAAACCCACAT